ACTCATCTTCTGACTTTTCTGCGGACTTCGTCATCATACTAAGTGGCATTTCTCGCTGTTTAGCTACTTCTTCATTAGAGACGCTTGTCATCAACGAGTCGTGCTGAGGCAGAAGACTGCGCTCTTGGTGGAGTCCCTGGTTCTCCTCTGATTCTGAAGGTTTGATCAAAAATGTTTGTTCCTTCGGATGATTCACCCATACTGACCGTCTGGTTATTCGAATGTGGACGGCTTTGATAATGTCTGAAAGAATGTTGTCATCTTGGCATTTTGACGGGCAGCATCTTTAAATGCCTCATCATGTTTCCGCTTGCGGCACTCTGCTCTAGGCATGTTGAAATACACAAGTACTGGGGAAAAATAATATATATACATATTCTAGGGAAGATAAGGTACATGTAGGATGGGGACGGGGGCGTGGCAACAGATTTTACCCTAATTTTTTTTGACAGTTTTGTGAAACTATTTTCGTTCTTATTGCAATGATACATGTTACCCAGAACAAACCTAACAACACTGGTGTAAACTTTTTAAAATGTTGGCGTGAAAAAAAGTAATAAAATTTTAATTCCCCTACTCCAAACATTACAGTTTAGGCCTACTATTGCAATAGCCTCAATTGACCACCTATACCGTGTGCGTGCAACTGTACTGGGTAAAGTTGTGACGGGGGGGGGGGGGGGGGGGGGGGGGGGGGGGGGGGGTCCCTGTGACTCCATGCGTTACTACAGAATTGATAGAACGCAGGTGGTCAGTCAATGCATGGGCGTATGTGTACGCACAAAGCTGTAGCGTAGTGAATGTATGCATTTTGTGTAACAATATAATAAAACAGGTATTAGCATGCATCTACATGAGCAAGTCCGCGTATCGCTACATTCAATTAACAATTGGATTTCTTATTTCCATTACCAGGATCCAGAATTTTTTCTAGTGGAGAATCCTTCGGCCTCCGGCGGCCCCTCGGCGGTTATCTTCCTGGGTGCGGAACATGAATTTGACTAGTTATGTAAAGAGACCTTTTTTTTCGCAAGAGGGGCAATTTTGCTTTTGATGGCCAGTTCAGTGATCATTTTATTCGCGTGAAGAGCACTATTATTTTTTTAGGGAACAGTTTTTTATCTTGAGAGGGGGCACATTTTAATGTTGACAACGAGGCGCTAATTGTGCTTTCGAGGGGCAGTTTTCCATCTCAAGAAGTTATCGCTAGAGGACCACTATCATTTTTGATGGCCAATTTCCCATCTCGAGAGGGGCACAATTTTATTATTGCGAGAGGGATATTTGTGTTTTCGAGGGATAGTTTTCCATTTCGAGAAGGTTCACAATCCTGTTAATGCACATGGGGTACTTGTGTTTTTTTGTGAGGCAGTTTTGCATGACAAGGGAGGAGACAATTTTATTTGCAGTGCGATCATATGCTTTCATATGTGTGCGTTTGAGGTGCATTTTTGTTTTTATCTCGAGGGGCACATTTATGACCGCAAGAGGGGCACTTTTGTTTTCATCAGGAGGGGCACATTAATCACCGTGAGAGGGGCACTTTTGTCAGCTAGGGAAATCTGGGGGGGCAACTGCCCCCCCAGCCCCCCCGGTTCCGCCGCCCCTGCCGCCCAGTGCACGAGAGGCGCTAACATTTTGCGGGCTCATGAACGAAGAAATATGTTTTTAGGCGTGTAGCTCGTGTGAAAGTTTCCAATGTGCACAACATGCGCAATAAACAACCGCTGAACTACAGGCTTGCAAAATATGTCACCACGCATGCACAATGCATGCATGCAGCGCACATGGTATATCTAATACACTGGGCCTTTGACAATTTTAGTTGCATATTCGTCCATTTCTAAACCTATTTCATTTGTGTAATTTTATTTATTTTTCCATCCATAAATAACTCTGTTAGTGTAAAGCTTGCACTCACCAAAACACGACACTTTGGCACAGAATCATAGAAAAGCTTACGAGTATGCGATGAGAATAGTGCCGATAACGCGGTATACAGGTGACCGATTTCAATAGAGCTAGAGGTGACCATTTCAATGGTAAATCTGTAGTATTGACAATAGAAAATTGGAAAATGATGTCATAGTACATCGTGACCATTTTTAAAAACCCTAACTCCTGGGGCTCTTTTACTAGAAAGTATCCTGAATCCGCCAAAATCCACCAATTTTGTCATGCAAAAAATGCTGGTATCCTGAATCCATCAGAATCCCCAAGTGTAGATACTGGAGGTATCCTGAATCCGCCAGAATCCACCAGCAAAAGTCTTGATGGATTCTGGTGGATTCAGGATACCATGTTGGCATAAAAAAAAATTACAGCATGATTTTCCATAGAGTCTTCAAAATCCATCACCTAAATTTCTGGTGGATTTTGACGGATTCAGGACACCACGCTCGCATGAAAATTGTGATGTGTGTTGTTGCATAGGATCCATCAAAATACTGGTACACCAATGCATGGCGACCCCAGCATGGAGTACCGAAGTGAATACGTCTCGCGCACAAAATTTGTGTGAAAGACATTAGCGCATGTTTCAGCCTGTAAATCGGCAGTGCGTCTACATGCGCCCATTCACTGTGCGATAAATCTCCGCCATTTTGGTTGTCTCTCGTAGACATGCAACAAATTAACGTAAAGTAATGGAGCTTTCCTCCAGCACGTGACCTAGCTCAACGTGCGCGAAGCAAGAAATGCACACCGAGTATTTACGCGATGCGCACACAAAATTATTAGCGATGCACATGGTGCTCTTTGCGCGTAAAACGGCGTTGCGTTCGTCACGTTTTTATTTGTATCTTTCCTCCAGCACGTGACCCTCCATGCAAATCCGTGCACGTGGACGTGCTGCCGATCTAGTCGTTTGTTCTATATCTATGCCGTAAACCCACACGAGCACGTACCCCATTTGTTTGCACTACCCTGTCTGGTTCTAAATGACGTCACACTTCGGTACTCATTGTCTGGATGGGTTATTAACACAATCCATTGTTTATATGCTGAGGCCTATTTATAGCCCCAGTCAAAAGCGCCCATCCACCCAGTACATGTGTGCACGTTTGTACAGTATGTGACAGACTTGGCAGAGCTAGTGCCAGCAGTATTTACTTGACCACAAACATTGCAAAAGAGTTAAACTGTTGAGATCCTGAATCCATCAAAGTCCCACAACAGCTCAAAATAGAGGTATCCTGAATCAATCAAAATCCGCCAGTTCCGCTAGGCTTCCAATCCTGAATCCATCAAAATCCCCCAGTTTGTGCAATATGGAGGCATCCTGAATCCGCCGAAATCCCCCGAAACAGGGGGGGGGGGGGTGGATTTTGATGGATTCAGGTACGTTAGGGTTAATCAATGAGAAGCTTCAGAACCGGGAGAACCCCTTATCGATGCATTGGTTTCTGCCATGGGAATGTGACGTCACATAATGAGTGGCGCTGTTCGATTTCACCATTTAACCTATTTGCATAATTTATGTCGGTGAATTCTGATAGTGATGTTTGCAATTTGACCCGTCCTAGCCAGTGTTCCCAGCATGGAACACTTCCTCAGAGCACGCGCTCAGCAAGCTAGCGCATGCGTAATACCGAACTAAGTGACCTTTCGGACTCGACATTTCCGTTCAAAAAGATGGATCAAGCATAAGTGGGAACATGACTTACGGTTTCGTTGCGATAAGATAACGATCACACCAAATGCCAGTTCTTGATCTCCCTTTTCCCAATTCAAGTGGAGTTGCGGTGTAATACAACTAAAACTTTAGGTTGGGTCTCTCCCCTTTCACAAAAAGTTACACAATATGTACATTCAGGTAGGGGTCGCTATACAGTATAAGTCTGGAAATTAAATATTCACAAGACTTTAAAATCAACATGTGACAGTGATGTCAATTCTAGTTTTGCATATTAGTAAGATAATCTAGCATGTACCTACCTAAGTTTCATGACCATCAAACCTTCCCTTATATGTACTTTTGCCTGTAACACTCAAAAAACTTCAGGACGGAAGCCATGCATGTCAAAATCACAAGTTAAAAGATGCGAGTTTGGGGGCCCAGCGAGTCTGCTTCCCTGCATATGGTTGCAGATAGGCACGGTGGCAGGTCATTCCGTCTACATACTTGGCCTGACATAATATCATTATACAGGGTTGTATGGTAGATAGTGAGGAAGCACCAAATCCTCTATTTTCCAGGAGGATTCAGCATTTGTACACCATTACTGATTTCACGGGGTGAATTTTTTTACAGTTCAATGCAAGTCACATGCGTTAAGTTCAAATATATCCACACATTTTTGCTACAGTTCTCATGGAAACACTGAACAATGTGGCTTGCAAACTTTACAAATTGAAATAACAAAGCGATTGACAATTTTGTGCATAAATCACCACGTGTGCCTCGCGTACATACATTTATCGTTAATTTTTGGTCATGTCATGATAACATTTCATGTTTTTGTTAACTCTATGCATATGTATGACATACCATACCATACCTATTATAAAAATAATTTTTCATCAAGCATTTTTTTCGTGAGCTATGATGATGTGATGAAAATATTCAAAAATCCATAAATAATCACACGATGATTTCATTGTGATGTTACCTCAATTTTCATGTATAACATGTCTCTTACTAGTTTATGTATAAATTTTCAACCCAATTGGACTTGTAGTTCTTTAGATAGAGGGACGTTAAATAATGCACTTTAAAATTAAGAAAGTTATGTGGCACATGATGACGTCAAGATGATGTCATCATTACATCACATGTCGATGCACACCTTTACTAGGTGGACTTTGCGTCCAGTTTGGAGTCAATCTCATTGCAGACAATGTCAAATTGTGTACATGTCAGTAAAAGTTTTTTTTTTTTTACTTTCTGGCCTCAATAAGTGATGAAAATTAACTGTTAATGTACACATACATGTACTAAAATAAGTCAACACCATAAACATGTAATCAATCTCCTTCCTCTGATGATTTTTTTTTTCCAGCTTACAGAACTGATAGATAAGTCAGTCAGTATATCAGCTGGCGAGAAAGATCCAGTGAGACATGCTTTGGAAGGTCTTCAGTTTTCACAACCTTCTAGGTAAGGTTATAAATATTCCATGTAGTGAGTACTTCAAGTAGAATTTGGTTCAGTGTATTTGTATTGGCAATACTGTTTGGGTGTTGTTTTGGTTTTTGTTGTGTGTGTAAGTGATGTTATTTTCACCAGGATAAATTTGAACAGGATTAGGCCCCCCCCAAAAATAAGTCGGTCTCTGGTCAGTGCGCGCGTTGATTTTAATCATGTGTGTCAACCTTTTTTTTTCTTCAAATTGTCCGCGGTAGCTACAGCAGCGCCCTCTATTGCCGCACCTCCTCAAATTTTTTTACCAAGGAATGGGGAAATTGCACCAAGGCAAATGATGGAGGGCACCAAGGCAAAATATGGAAGTCCCCAATGTATATAAGGACACAACAAAAGCAAAATAGTACCCACCTTGTCTGTACAATCCAAGCTTCCAAAAAAAACAAAAAAACGTGTCGCCGCATCAATTCCGGAACTCTGGTCTGACCAGAGACCAATTTAGTTATTTTTTTTGGCCTTAACAGCAATGCACAATTACACATTCCAGTAAAAGATGAATTTACGCTTAGCGGGATCTTGCTTGGACAATTTTAACAACAAGCAGATTAAAAATTGGGCAGATTATTCTTATAATATTTTCAATTTCCTCAGAAACCAGTAGCCATTTTTAATGGTTTGATAGTGTAGCGCAATGCATTTTTAAAATGATGAGGATATCGCGTTAAGGAGGGTGCAATTCAGTTTTTGCTGGTAGCTAGCGATGTGCGCGTGCTCTCGCACAGGGTACGGGGGCACAAGCTTACGTGCCCGCCCTATAAAAGCCGCCGTACGCTAAGCGTCGTGCTCTTTCGACGGTTGTATATAGAAGAAGCCTTTATACCAGCGTGTGTGGTGGGTATTCGTTGACCCGCTGAGTCCCTGATCTACAAAATCATGCCAATCATTATCTAGTCACTGTGGGGGAGCCTCACACTTTGTGTGGGTCAAGTGGGTCAAGCCGAGTCCCTGATCTACAAAATCATGCCAATCATTATCTAGTCACTGTGGGGGAGCCTCACACTTTGTGTGGGTCAAGTTAATTAGTCAATTCACCCTTATAATTCTCGAATCAATAGTTCAGTCATTGTTATCGTACGAGCTGGAATATAGCTAAGTAGCCTGTATAGGTGAGGGATAGGCGAGGCACCTGGGTAGGCGAATAAATAATCTTCCGAAACACAGATCTAGTGTCAGGTCCCCATCCTTCCCCAGTCCCCCTGGTTAGTCCGCTTGGGTTGTGTGAGCGAGAGTGCGTGTAAGGGTGATCCTTTGGTAGTCTGCTGCGGGCCTTGCAGTAAATCTCCGCCGAAACGGATCTGCGTACCCGACCGTAGAGGCTAGGCCGTTCGCCGCTACTCGCCGGGGCAGTCGTCGGAGGCAGTACCGCTACAAATTGGTGTCAGAAGTGGGATAGGCGCCGTTGCTTCACTGCTAAAAATCACCTGCGCCTGTGACATCACCTAGCTAGGAGTCATCACCCCAACAATCTACAACTACCACTATTAACCGACATGGCCGCCAACGAGATATCCGTGGAGGACGAGTTACAACAATCCTTTGCCGGGAACCGCGATCTGACAGAGATCAAGGAGTTGCTGCTGGCGCAGAATCGCCTGTTAAAGCTATAGTCCATCATTTGCAGCCATCCGAAAAGTAACTGGCGTAATTATTGTTGAAAAACAAACTTGGTTGAAAGATAGTAAGGGAACTAAACGAAAGAAGGCATTTCCAACGGTGATTCTTAAGAAGCACCGTAGGAAAATTTAAATTAGTAGTTCGTTTTGTTATTCAGCGCAGCGCGCACAAGTATTGGAACAACGCACACGCGCGCGCGGTTGTTATAATTCGTCGGATCAGTGCGCTACGTCGCGTATGGCTGCAATTCAAAACAATTCAAAACATGATTCAGTAACTTTTGATTTGAAATTGAGATCTTAGAATGCTGTTTTTATCGATATGTACAGCTGAAGCTTAGCTGAAACTTCATCAGGTTAGTTGTTCAGTATCCTTCATTAGATTTTGAACCCTTTTGTTGCTTCAAACGAACAAAATGCACTAATTACAAATGATGGACTATAGCTTTAAGATTGCAGCTTCGCCAAAGTGAGGCCAAGTCAGAGGCAGCACAGCAGAGGACAGATAGACGCCAGAGGACAGGCAGCCGTGAACTTTTCACATTCACAGCCACCCCTACACCAGTACCATCACCAAGGCCTACCCCCAAACCCAGAACGCGATTCTATAATCCCGTTGCACCAGCGCCTACGCCAGTGTCTACGATAGACGTCCCGTCGCAGACGGTAGACGAGTTGACAAGCTGCGGCGAGTAGGGCAGTCGAACGGAGTTGACGCCTACTGGTCATTCGACCGCATGCCGGCAGCCGGGGACCCAAGGTGGAGTTCCGTTGCAGTTTGTGAAAGACGCAAGCCAGAGGGAGGGCGAAAACTCCCCGGACCTTCAAGGAATGGAGGTCGAAAACAAAGGAGAAGTTGGGGTGAAGAGTGAAGTGGGTGTTCCTACCAGACGTTCCGAACATCATCCCCGACAGATTCAGCGCGAAGATCCCGTGGCAAAATTACAAGCAGCATTTTGAGCCCTGCAAGTTGGCAAACAATTGGAGTGATCGCCAGGCGAGAGTGTTTTTGGCGGCAAGCCTGCAGGGCGATGCGGTCAAGGCATTAGGGAATCTAACAGCAAGCGGGCGCCACGTAACTTATTCCGAGTTGGTTGGGCTGTTGGAGAAGCGGTTTGGCCCAGGAGAGCTTGCAGAAAACCACCTAGCGGAGCTGCGGCATAGGCGACAAAAGCCTAAAGAGACGCTGCAGGAATTGGGACAGGCATAAGGGAGTTGGCTTCACTCGCCTACCTGGAATTGTCAGAGGAGGGGGGTGATCACCTAGCCAGGGGGCACTTCTCTGATGCGGTGGAGGAACAGGCTATCCGAGAAGAGATCTTTCGAGCAAGACCATCATCACTGGACGAGGCTATCAGAGCTGCACTAAACACTGAAGGGTTCCTTAAGATAGAGGAACAGCGGGCTGGCAAGCGGCCCAAGTACGCCCGAGTAGTAGAGGGCGATGCCCCAGTACCCCTTGGAAGAAATCAAGCGGGAGATGAAAGAGTCGGCTGAGAAAAATCAGCGCGAGGTGAGGGAGTGGCTGGAGAAGATGACCCAGCGACTTGACACCCTCCGGCCTCAGGAGAGGAGCGATCGTTCGAGTGCCGCCAACCAGAGGCGAAAACCAAGCCCAGAAGACGTTTGCTTCAGTTGCAAACGAAAAGGACATTTTGCAAGGAGTTGCAAACAACCCAGCGCAGTGAAGAAAATGAGGTCGGGAAATGACCAGCAGCTGCCCCAGCGGCCCGTGGGAAAGCTGGCGGAACAGCAGGGCCAGAAGGCGCTGGAGAGAATTTAGGCGAGAAAATCGAAGGCGACAAAGAAACCTGAACAAGGACAAGTAATGTAGCGGGCAATGGTCTATTCGTGCAGGCTATTGTGAGAGGGGTCAAAGTAAAACTTCTTGTTGACACAGGGGCAACACACACTGTGTTGTTGTCTCAACTTTATTTCAACATTTCCAGGGACCAAGACCCAGACTTACAACCATAGGCGCAGGAGTACGGAATGCTGATTGGAGTAAGATGGAGACACTCGGTAGCGCCTACATAGACATTCAGGTCGGCAGAACCATTAACTCCATCAACGTAGTCTTTGGCAACACAGGGCAGATGCAAGACATATTAGGGATGGATTTCCTGATTCCAACCCAGGGTAATCTAGACTTTCGGACGTTAGAGCTGAAGTTAAATGGGGAAACCATCAAGTGCACAGACGACCGAGGGGGTGGACTCTGTGCTAGAGTGGTCATAGGTGAAACTACCAGAGTGCCAGCTGGTCATGAGGCGCTAGTTCCAGGATATGTGTACGGTAACAAGTCGAATGGTGTAGTCGGAGTGATTGAGCCTACAGGGAGGAGTGAAATAGCAGATAAAGGCATGATAGTGGCAAGGGTGCTGGTGATGGCGGGTGAGGATGCACTTCCCATTCGAGTATACAACCCCGGCAAGAGAGAATGTGTCGTGCGGAGAGGGACGACGGCAGGGACGTTTACGCCTGTAGGTGAAGGCGACGTACAAGAAGTACAATCGGGAACTTCTTCGCCGGGAGACTCCTTCGATGTTCCTGAACACCTTGAGGACTTGTTCGAGCGAAGCAAGAAAGGCGTGGAGCCAAGACACCACAACAGAATAGCTCAGCTGTTGTGCCAATATGAGGACATTTTCTCAAAGGGAGAGGGAGACAAAGGACACACAGACTTGGTTCGCCACCGCATTACTACAGGTGATGCCCGGCCCATAAAGGAGAGACCAAGGAGATATCCTCCCGTTGAACAGGCAGAAATCCAGCGGCAGGTGCAAGACATGGTGCGGAATGGCACCATTGAACCTTCGGACAGCCCTTGGGCATCAAGAGAGGGTGTTTGCCGGACTGCATTGGGAGACGCTACTCGTCTACCTCGACGACGTTATTGTGTACGCAAAGACGGTTGAAGAGGAGTTGAGTCGCCTTGAGACAGGAAGGCAGGTCTAAAACTTAAACCAAAGAAATGTCACTTGTTCGAGCAGCGTGTTCTGTACCTTGGACACGTAGTGTCTGGGGATGGGATTGCGACAGATCCGGAGAAGGTGAAGGCTGTACGGGATTGGCCAACACCTACAACAATGAGAGAAGTGCAGAGTTTCTTAGGACTAGCGTCCTATTACCACAGATTCATCAGAAGCTTTGCTGATAGGGCTCGTCCGTTACACCACCTGACGGAAAAGGGAAGAGTGTTCGAGTGGACGCGTGAATGTGAAGAATCATTTCAAGACTTGAAGAACAGTCTTCAGGAGGCACCTGTTTTGAAGTTTCCTGACCCAGAGGCTGAGTACATACTAGACACCGACGTGAGTGGCGTGGGCATAGGCGCGGTCC